AGCTCTGTATGCTTTAGAGATTATTGAATTTTGTATTGTCTGTCATTTGTGTATGTGTGATTGGGTTACATTTAACCATGCTGGGCAAGCATGCTCCACCACTGAGCATATGTATCTTTTACAGATTTTGAGTATTTTTTCGGTTGTCAATCAGACGTCGTAATCAATTCGCTGTTTGCCAGATTTTGTTCCTAATTTCGTTTAAATGCTTAGTCCAATTTAACTTAGAATCTCAGGTTAGACCCAGAAATTTGGTTGATGTAGCTACCTGGAGAAGAGTTCCATAGATGTGTATAATTTTGGGGGCTGTTTCTTCTTTCTTTTTGATTTTGTGAATAATATGATTTGTGTTTTAGGTGTATTTATCTTGATTCTCCATTTGTTGCAGTAATTTTCTATTTCGTTTAATCGTGATGGAGTATAGGAATTCTTCCAGATAACCAAATCATCAGCAGAAGCAGAAATTTGGATGAGACAGTGTGATTTCACTCACATACATTATGAATAATATAGGGCTAACTATTACTCCTTGTGAAACATCTGCCTCTGGGGTAAAGTACTCCGAGTTGGTGCCCGACACAAATGGGGGTCCGCAGAAATTTTTCCAGTGAGAGGGGGTAAAAATAGTGTAAAACGTTTGATGATGACAAAACCTTATACATTTACTGTTATGTTAAACTTGTATTAAAGTTTTTTCTTCATTATCCATTCAAGCCGTCTCCAACCATTATTAGTCTCAAAGTGGGTTCCTCGTCATCGAATTATTCTTACAATATAAAATGGAGCATAAATTACGCTATGCATATTACAGGTACGTGTATACTAATAATATTCTAATTACAAAACTTCTTTAAAGCAGAAACTAACTAAATTAATCCATTTCAATAACATGTAACAACTAAAGTACTTTAAAGTTATAAAACACTTTATTTGCGCCTAATATGAGACTTTGACACGATTTTTTATTTTCTTCGAGATTTTTTCAATACTTCTTTCCCCTCATATTCAGAAGTATACTGCATATCAAGTTACAATATATCCAGAAAGTGCACACACATTTAACCGGCGTTGTTTACGTACTGAGTATTGACGGAAATATTACCATTCAAACCAGGAGTAACTAATCCATATAGTGGCTCTTCTCTCGCTTAATAAGCACTCCAGTTCTACAGTATATAAAGCTCAATGTCCACTGTAAATCAAAAGCCCCACCCATCCATCAGTAATGGCGATGTATGAATATTTTCCCACAAGTAATTGACACCTTTAACATTTATACGTAGGGTTAACAGGCCTCACAGTAAAATTGTGATCATTCTAGTTTTTAGCCTAATTTTTTTGTCTGTCCTAATCAGAAACAATAAAAGTATTCAAATGTCCCAGTGTTTCTATACCTCAGTGTGAGTTTGATATGTAAGATTTGTCATATACATGGCTCCTTTGAATTTTGAACTGGAGAATCTATTTGACAAAGATCACACAGTATAGTGTTCTATCCCTCTCATTGGGCATTCTCAGGAATTGAGATTTGAAGACGCGCAAAAAAAAACAAACAAAAAAAAAACCGAAGCAACAGCAGTTCTTTTTTGAGTAGGATCAAGATAAGTTAGACGAGTTTTTGTTTTATTTATTATTATTTTTTAACTATAAAAATTTTCAACAGATCTTGTTTGTTTATAGTTTAAAATGTGACGCAATAAGCATCATATTATTTAACAAATGATAAAATGTGTGTTATTATAATTTGAACTGTCTCAGAGCTGTTACAGTGTCACTCCACGTGCCCCCCCCCCCAGTGGCACAGCGGTATGTCTGCGGACTTACAACAATAGAAACCGGGTTTCGATACCCGTGGTGGGCAGAGCACAGATAGCCCAACGTGTAGCTTTGTGCTTAATTATAAACAAACAAACACTCCAATTAAAAAAAAAAGAGTCCCAGTTCTTCTCGCTAGAAATCTGGTAATCCTATAGTCATATTATTCAATTGCTTGATAATCTGTTTCTGATTAACAGAACGGCACGTGCCTTCTATATAAACTCAAAATATTAGTGTTCTTACAAATTTTCATCCCACTTTAAAGAAATGCGAGTAGGGTGTTTTGTAGCAGTGTAAGTTTATTATTATTATTGTTAATTGTTTTGCTGATATATCGTACTGCGCCATTTGTTTTTCTTACTGGTATAAATACTGGCGCATACTGCTCCACTTTGACCAATGGTAAAAACATGCGTCTCAGGAATGTAGAAACAGTGTTATTTGGGTTGCCATCTTAATCTACATACATCCGTAAATATAGAAATTAATTTCGTAAACAGAAAGTTGGGGTTGCGAACTTGCTACAATAAGAAAAACGTGAGGATTACTGAGGTGGGGCGTTAAACCCGTCAACCGGTATGGATAAAAGCTGGTATAAGAAGCATACTCTAGAAATTTAAATAAAATTTCAACATCAGGCCTTCTTGAACATTAAAAAATGAGAATCCAGTCTCAGAATATCTTCCCAAACGTTATGTTTCTTTGTCAAAATTAAATGTAACTAAATGGGAAGCAAAAAAAACGAGGGGGTGGGATAAGCAGCCTCTGTACCGCCCGTTACAGAATTGCCGCTTACGGTTTTCATGGTTATATAAAACATAAATAATATAAATAAATAATAACTGTTTTTGTTAATCATATTATATATATATATATTGCGTTATCATTAACAGTAATACTTTTGATGAATGGTAAATATTTAAAACGCGGATTGAGTATTTTAGTAATTTCTACAAAGGTTTGCGCAATCGATCGAAGTTTGGAAGAAGCAGGAAAGAAACTCAACGGAGCACAGACAGCCAGTCTCCAGTCAACATACTTAATTTAAGGTTGTTTCGGGTTTAAGAAGTCCATGCGCTGCGCAATGTACATGCGTTCAACATTCGCCAACCAAAGAGGATGGGATTCCGTCTGTCACGTCAGTTGTTGACCTCTGTGATTTTCGATTATTCTTTTGAAATCTTGTGTGTTGTGAAATGATATGTTAAGTAATACAGAATCTTATGTATTCATTCATACTAGTAGTTTGTGGGAAAGTTCTCTTGCTAGATTTGTTTTAAGTGAATGAACATTTAATTTTTTTTTTTTGTATTTGCAGAAAAAATTAAAATATATATATGGAACCCATTTTCAAGACAGACTTAAAATTTTCGTACAGGTTACATACCAGGCATGGATGCACACTGACTTATAATTATTATACAGGTTAGATACCAGGCATGGATCCACACTGACTTATAATTATTGTACAGGTTAGATACCAGGTATGGATCCACACTGACTTATAATTATTATACAGGTTAGATACCAGGCATGGATCCACACTGACTTATAATTATTGTACAGTTTAGATACCAGGCTTGGATGCACACTGACTTATAATTATTATACAGGTTAGATACCAGGCATGGATGCACACTGACTTATAATTATTGTACAGGTTAGATACCAGGCATGGATGCACACTGACTTATAATTATTGTACAGGTTAGATACCAGGCATGGATGCACACTGACTTATAATTATTGTACATGTTTGATACCAGGCATGGATGCATACTGACATAATTATTGTACAGGTTAGATACCAGGCATGGATCCACACTGACTTATTATACATGTTAGATACCAGGCATGGATGCATACTGACTTATAATTATTGTACAGGTTAGATACCAGGCATGGATCCACACTGACTTATAATTATTGTACAGGTTAGATACCAGGCATGGATGCATACTGACTTATAATTATTATACAGGTTAGATACCATGCATGGATCCACACTGACTTATAATTATTGTACATGTTAGATACCAGGCATGGATCCACACTGACTTATAATTATTGTACAGGTTAGATACCAGGCATGGAGCCACACTGACTTATAATTATTGTACAGTGTTGGTGTCCTCACTGTGATTAAAAGTTTGCAGAAAACCCAGTTCATAGATTGCATTCTGATCATTGTTTCAGCTGGTGTAGATAGGCCTCCCAGTGAAACTTAACCTATAAATTTGAAGTTACACTTTTATTTTAAACCAAAAATGTGACTGCAACGTTTTCAATACTGTAAGCATGATATTGCCATAATTCTCTAATACACATCTACTGAAATATAATGAATTTGCAATATTTTTGATGTGAAGGAATAACTTAGACATAATTATCAGTATTATCAAAACTTAGGTTTTAAAATCTCTGTCATTACACAACACAAAGTAATGAATTTCTTCATGGAAATCTTTACAGATGGTTATAGAATTTCATATTTATTATTATTCATATATGTTTAACTCTTTCTTGGTTTGTGCAACCACATTTTGTTCTATATTTCAAGAAAAAGAAACTTTTTTTTTTTATGTATATTATGAATTGAATCACGGTGTCTGTTTGAGCATTGTATGTCTCCTGTTTGAAAAGCTGTGCATGCTGGCAAAATTGAACATTCACTTTTGAAATGACAGAAGAACAGGCATGAATAATGTTGATGCCAAATTTTATTTTGTAAGCATGATATTCTACACCAAACTGTTAGGAATTAATCACACTATCATTTACATTTCAAAATGTGACATAACTTAAAGAATAAAAATGTAGATTTACAGTGTGTTATTGTTGAGCAGCTCTTAGCATGACTGAAATGCTCAACAATTACTTTTTGCAGTGGGTGGTATAAATAGCTCAGAGCTTTGGCTCTGAGTGAAACCAAGAGTATAACACAACTTTTTTAAAGTTCATGAAATAATTTAAATTGACATATTAATTTAAACTTTTCCTGTCACCGGGGATGGGTACTTTTGCTTGTTCTTTATAAGAGAACCTGAACACATCAAATTCCAACTGTAGTTTATTGAGAAATTTTATGGAAATAGCACATTGCTATGTTTATTTAGTAATATTTGTATTGATGAGTTAGATTATAATAGCAATTTCTTTTAAGTTCCTTAACAGTGGCAAAGTGTCCACCTACGAGGGCAACCACCTCAACATCTTGGAAGTAAGTATATTCATTCCAAATGTAAAAGACAAAACAAAAAACAGTTGTATACTAGTAAAAATATTTATAAAAATAGTGTATTATGTGCTTAATTTCTGTAGTCTTTGCTATTACATTTTAAAAAGTTTTGTAAAAATAGTATGCTCATTCTAATATAAAAATATTGAATAAAGAAATTTTAAGAGTTCATAACTTGATATTCATTGTAGTACTTCCTAAAACTTTGTTTTGTACTTTTGTTAATGTAAACTTTTAACATTATACAAAAATATTTACATTTTGACTCCAAACAAAATGCCTGGGAAATTTTTTTGTGGGTATAATAGTAAACCAAATTTCACCCAAAAATGAAGTGGAATAATTCTTGTCATTTGGTATCTGACAAGATGGTACTAATAGAGGAGGGGGATTACAAATACTCTTATTAGAGGAGAAGGAGGAACAAGTTTACTGCCAGGGGTACTAACAGGAGTGAAAATAAGAAACAAAATTCACTGTTAGGACAGAACTAAAGGAAAAGGAGCTAGTTTACTACCAGTTGGTAGAAACAGGGGGGGGTGGAGAATCCAAATATTTTTACCATTTAGGATTAGAGTAAAAGAAGGAGCACATTTACTAAGTAATCCCAGTAGTTGTTAATACTTTGAAAAATGTACATTAATCATAGAGACATGCACTGTAAATACTAGTTAACAGAATGAAAGTTGTAACTAGGATCGTATAATTTGAATATCTAAACAGTATGGCATGATGTTTGTTAAACAAATGCACATTTAAACAGTAATATAAGAAGAAGTGTGTTGTGATACACACTTTACACATACAAGCAAATACTACAATGAGAAGTACGATAGAATCGTCTAAACATATGCACTTAGTAAGAAGTGTACAATGAAAACTATACAACTATGAATGCATAAACTAAATAAAAGTGAAAAGTGTGTTATACAAATATACACAAGTGAACAGTAAGTAATAGTGATAAACTTCTAATGCAAATTTCTACATGTAGATAGTATTAAGTTAAATTAGTGAGAAGTGTAGAACTTTGTTCAGTAATTGTGATATTATTTATTGATATTAGGGATGTTTGTGATTTAGAAGTTTTTGTTTTAGGGATGTTTGTGATTTAAAAGTTTGTTGTTTACTTTTCATTAAAATTATATTCCCTGTTGCCTCAATGACTGATATGTTGTATGTTTTGTCATATTTTTTTAACTGATGACTTACACTTTATTTATTTTGATTTTGCAGGAAGAGATGATTATTTAGGGCAGGTCCCTTATCCACAACCTGTAAGTTTTCTGGTTTTATTATATTAGTATTGACAACAGAGAACTTGAAAAATTTTGTAGAAAAAAAAATACAGAAGTTAAATATTGGAGACATACTATTATTTATTGATCTGTGGACACAGTTTACTTTAAATATTCAAAGCTCAGTGAGAGTGCAAAAAGGTGATGGCATAAACTAACACATAGATGTAGTTTTGTGCTATTGATGCTCATTTTTCCTACGGTGCATTAGCAGGCTGTAGAAATGTGGAAGTAAAATAAAGTTAGAAAAACTAGCTGCATATGAAATGGAATTGTTATTCATGTTTTATTATTCAAGAATTAGCCTCTATGGCTCAAGTTCACAATGTGTGACTGACTATAAGGCCAAGGTGTCTGGTGAAATTCAGAGTGCTAAAGCAGGAAACATAAACAAAAATCACAAAAGAAAACTCATCCGTTTCACTCTTTACCACTAATGAACTTGAGCTGGTGAGAGGTAATACAGCTTGGAGTTGGTATTAACTCATTGTGAAGAGAGTCATATTTTCGTAGGTAGAGATGCTGCAGTTATTCAATTTATGTTACAAAATATGTTCTGAATCTGGAAACACATTTCTTTATAGAGGCTATAGAAATCTGGTTATATTACAACAAAGTGTTCCAAAAGTTGAAGTGTCCTGTTTAGGTGTTGAAAAGATTCATTTATATTACAGGAAGTGTTCTGAATGTGGAAACATCTTTCTCTATAGATGCTTGTGAAGATTATTTTACAAAAAATGTAGTGAAAAGTGAAAATGCTTTATTAACTCTCAGTATGATAGAGTAAAAGTGTGCATATGACCATTTACAGAGTCACATTCAAAAGTTAATTAAACAACTTCATTATCAATGTCAGTAAACTTGGCATTAAAACATAGTTTATAATCCAAATTTTAATATTATCTAAGGTTTAAAAAATTTTATATCTAAAGGAAATATTACAGAAAATCTCAATCTCCATTTTTCAGTTCAAATGATATGTCTGGCTTTGTTTTCTCCTTTCCAAGACTTTCTACCAGGCTGCTGAGACTTATAACCAATTAGAAACACAAACAACACATAATGACCAGAAAAAATATAGAATGTGAACTTCCTACCCTCTTGATTTGCTTAAATTTCAATGCATTTGTAAAACCCACTAGAGTTTTTATGCATTTTATTTCAGTTATCTACATCAAGTCTACACTTTTGATGGACATGTTTATAACCAATAGAAAGAGCATATTATAGCAAACAGAAATCTTAAGACCATTTGTTTATGTTTGGTGGTTAAAAATGATAGTTCGCAAGAAAAACTTGATTTGTGTGTTGAGTAAAGTTATTACACTTAGAAGTAACAGAATTTCTTAAAACCTATTTATAACTTAGTTAGAAAGACAGGTAAATTGTAGGCCATTCTTCTGTAATGCCTGATATATTTTGTATGTTCTAAAATACATATTTGAAAGCTACATGAATTTTTGTTGAACAGCTAACATAGTGAGAAAAAAGTAGGGTTACTGACACGTGGCATGTGAGTGCAAATGGGCATAAATGTCTAAAGTATGAGCTACATTTCTTCTTTTTATATATATATTTTTTAACAAACTAACTAAATGTAAAAATTAAAAACTTCTAGGGTAACAAAAATAAAATTTATAATTCTATGAACTTAGTAATTTGAGCTCATGAGCTCAATTTATGTGTAACTTGGTTTGTTTGTTTACTGTATCTGTGATTTATAAAGCAGTAATAAACACATCTAGAACAAAGTCTGACAATAAAACAAAATTAAAAGAAAACAGATGGTGATAAGATAACTAAATTGAAGATCTGGTGACAAAGATGCATTCAAAGAAGAAGAAAAAATCATTATTCATTTTATTTCATATTTTTCTACTTTTAAATTCACTGTATATTGATGATTTCGCTACTGAAAACTTTTGATAATCATTTAGGTTTATGAAACCCACTTTTTACTTAAACTGACTCAGTAAAGACTTTGTAAATTCATAGATAGATCTTTGGTAGAAATACATTATTAAAAAATTAGCTTTGTAGTATTTACTAAAAGCTTGTCAAGTTTTGTGAACTAACACTTAGTAACAGTTAACCAACTGTGATATAATTTTACTTTTCTTTTACAAAATTTTATTTGATTACAGCAACAAGGACTTCATCAGTTCCCACCTGGAGCACTGTCACTATCAAGTGGTCCTCCTCATGACATAGGTAAGCCTGGACCCCTACCACCACAAGGTGGACCATCACATGCACTTCCATATTTATCAGGCCTGGGTCCAGGACCTCATCAACCCCAGGGAGGCATGCCATCCCAATTGACAGCAGATAACACAGGACCACAATTACAACAGGGTGGTCTTCATCAACATCATGGGCAAATCCAAAGACAAGCTCCTTTAGGGGTGATTATGTCTTAATGTTACAGTAGTCATTTAAATTACTTTTTTAACTTCACAT